TATATCAATTTTAAAATATTATAATTATATCAATTTTATAAATATTTTTAATTTAAAAGTTTTTTTTATGAGATTGACACATAAACTTGTAGTTAGGATTTTGTCTAGAGTTTTCATTATAATAATTTTAAATTTATATTAAGTATTGATTAGTGTTAGAAATAAAATGAGGTGAATCGGTAGATAAATTACTAAGTTAATGAACCAATTAACTAACCAATAAATAAAACAAAATAAAATAAAGAAAAGTAAATGTATTGGTTATCAAAGTGAAAGTGAATTAGTGGTGCTACCGTACCAATAACAGATAAAAGAAGCCAATTTGCTTATGATGTCAAATCAATTACGTAGAAAAGTTTCTCCATTTCATTTCAAATTTCAATATATTATTTCTATCGATTATTAGGTGAAATATTTCTATTCTTTTTATTTTCTAGATTTTCTTTTATCTCGTTTAAATAATTGTTTTCTCAATTTGATTAGTGTCAATGTTTTATTTGTATCTTTTTTTACTGTAACTCTGATTTGCACGAAACCAGGGCCAAAACGATCGGGGGAACATAAGTAATATTTTCATTAAGTTTGAATTTTATTTTGCAATAATTTTTTTTTACCTAATTTCGAAATTGATATTTTTAGTGTATTTTAATATTATATTTTTAAATATTTATTCATAAATGATCGAAAACGTAACAATTGGATGATGAGTCAAGAGAGGAAAATTTCTACACGTAGACGCAAATCAATATGTGGAAGCATGATAAAGTTAGGAACTTACTTGGGGTGATCTTTAAATGTGGGTGGGGAGAAAAACGTCTAAGGTAATGGCACTTTCACATATTGATTATAAGAAAAATAATAGTCATGTATTATAGGATAAAATGATATAATGCGTAATTGTTCTAAAGAGAAAAGGGTAATTGAAATGTAATTATTCGGTAATTTAAAAATAAGAATATTGAATATATATATATATATATATATATATATATATATATATATATATATATATATATATATATATATATATATATATATATATATATATATATATATATATATATATATATATATATATATATATATATATATATATATATATATATATATATATATATATATATATATATATATATATATATATATATTGTATTTTTGGAGTGTGTTGATGTGATGTGGATGAAACATTGTGTTATTTGTGATTTGTCATTATTGTGTGTAGTCACGATGTGAATTCGATGAATCGTGTTGATGTGATTGTACATTGTAAATGTATGTATATGTTTGCATATTGTTTGAGTTGTATCTGCCTAAGTGGCGACATTGATTATTAAGAAGTTATGATTTTAGTCATGTGCATGATGATGTATTGTTATTTGGACGATATGATTGCCTAAGTGACGGGATTTTCCTAAGTGGTATGCTTGCATTTGCATCATCATTTCATGGCATATGTATTGTTTGCCTTAGTGGTGGGTTGCCTTAGTGGCAGGTTATTTTCCCCATTAATATGTGATGAATTTTGTGTGGTGCCTTAATGGAAGGATGATTATATTTGGATAATGTAGTTCTAAAAGCATGCATATTCATACCTAAAGATATTTGTAAAATAATGATTTTTATGAATTTGATTTCTATCAAGCTATTATATTTTGTATGATTTGTTTTATAATATCGTAATGTATGTTTTGTTTGATTTGATATGGACAATGAAAGATTGACCCCTTACAACCAATATTTTAGGTACCAATGAATTTGAAGATGTGAAGTGAAAATGATATGATGTTTCACGTGATCGTGGGGAGAAAACTGGGATTTTATCAAACTCATTTGTTTTACTTTAATTTGCATCTCTTTCCAAACTTGTAGTTATAATTTTATATCAAAAACAAAGTTTTTTTTAAAGTAAATATAGTTTTTAACTAATGTCTTGGATTAAAATCCAGAACGTTACACAATGCACCTTATCCTCTATTTTATATGCTTGTGGCACTAATCACTGAACTCGTGGCATATTCTAGGAGTACATACAGGCTAGATTATGTACCAAAACATTATCCCTAAGTTCTCTAGTTTAGGATCACATGTGAGCTACGCTATGTGCTGCAATAATCTCGCTAAACTCAATAGTCTAAGAGTACATGAGAGTTACGTACGTACTACAACACTCTCGCTAAACTCAATAATCTAAGAGTACATGAGAGCTAGGTACGTATTATAGCACTCTCGTTAAACTCTAATCTAGGATTATATGTGAGCTATGTATGTACCACGGCACTCTAGCTAAACTCAAAAGTTTAGGAGTACACGAGAGCTACTTCTGTACTACGACACTATCTCTAGACACAAACCTACTCTCACTCTAATATGATGCATGATGACCAGACATACGCAAGTTCCTCTTAAACCTCCTTCCTCTTTTGAAACACATTTACTTTGATTGTCACATTAGGTTTTCACAGTATTTTTACCACACATTCACTTTGATTGCCACGTTAGGACTTTGCAATAGTTTTACCAAACATTTTATTCATGTCCTACTTTATCTCACAATTATTTATTAATAACATCATTACACATACATATAAGTATCATGAAACTTTACCAAAAGATATATCTTTGAATTAGTATTCTAACATAAGTGATCCCACCTAAATTTGAGCTACCAACCTCAAGTTATGATATTTTCAATTATGCCTCAAAATTTTAACACTAGTAGTCGAATACGAAATAGAGGTAGTCAACTACAACTCATCCAAAAGTCGGAATTTCGTATTTTTAACATTGGTAGTCCAATACCGAATAGTTGTATTCGACTACCACTCCTACCAGAACAAAAAAACAATATTTATCATAGTCTTGTATCTAGATGTCATCTATAGTTCCCTAAACTCAAAGACGCCAACAAACACTACAGGCATGCAAATTTTGGATTATAACACATCAAAGCATCGTCTAACATCAACTGAGCACAACTAAACCATCATAACACATCATCATAAAAAATGAATTAATGATCATACACATACCCATAAATAAATGTATCATTTCACACACACACACACACACATATATATATATATATATATATATATATATATATATATATATATATATATATATATATATATATATATATATATATATATATATATATATATATATATATATATATATATATATATATATATATAATACAAGAGAGATTCATGATCTAGGGTTCATGAATAATCACCCCTTATAAAAATTCTCATAGTGAATTAGACCGAAGTTGGAGTTTAAGGGAGACCCAACTATCCTATACGTCAAAATATTCAATTATTGATTAATCTCCCCCTTATATTGTATTTGTAGAAACTTTTTTACAAAGCTCTTAAAAAGGGAAATAACTCATCCTTGATCTAATTATTGCATATCTTCCTGTTGAATTGGGGTGTTTTGGAGAAGAAGAGTTTTGTCAATAAATTTTGCAATAATTGGGATTTTTCTTAGAGATTACATGTTTTTCTTATTTTTCTCTTTCTCTCTCCATTTCTTTCATTTTCTCTATTTCTCTCATTTTCTCTATCTACCTCTCTTAAATTAATCAACTTTTTATATATTTATTTCCCCACTAAAATTGTCCTTTCAACTCCCTTTCCATTATCTTTATAATTTTCAATTTAATAATAAATTCAAAGATATATCAAAAAAATCCAAATAGTCATTAATAATAATAACCTTAATAATAATAATAAATATAATAAAATCATCTTAAAACACAATAAATCTCATCATCAAATCCAAATCAGTATGATACACTTAGAAGATCAAATCTCAACATTAATGAAAATCTCATCAATAACTGAAAGATTGAGAAATCTAATTGGTTAAAGCAAAATACAAGTGATTAGGAGACTTAAATATGGCGAATTTAGATACGATTTTTGGACATCACAATCCTCATTTAATTCTTACTCCGAATACAAACCCAAATCCATCATAACATATGTTATAAATGGATATTGTATTCTCACCTTCTCTTGTATCTCGTGCTCTTTTTTTTCTCTGCACACTAATAGGATTGTTCTAAAAAAGTTCACCATGAATCCTAGAAGATTGAGCTTCACCTCCAACTCTCACACCAATGAATTTATAACTAAACAACAAGAAATCAGATTCTTCAAACATTTTGCCACTCGAACAGTCATGAGAGTTCATTCCTTAGATTCCGAAGAGTTCAAAGCATGAAACTTATTTAAAACTCTAGAAGAACTCAAACTCACAAACTTTCTTTGCACGCCTACAAAAAGAATTTATACCACCTTAGTGAAAATGTGTTTCTCAAACCTTCAACTAACTAATGGAATTCTTCAAAGTGAAGTAAGAAAACACCACATAAGCCTTTATGTAGAATAATTTAGAAAACTTCTTGACCTTTCTCATGAAGACCACCTCACCAAGTTAGGAGACAAAATCAATAGGTACAATTTTTCCAAATTTTAAAATTTTTTAAAATGAGAAGAATTAAATATATTTTTTTTAAATTTCAAAAGATAATGATAGAAGTAATGAAAATGTCGACTTAGAGATCAAATTTTGAGTTCTTTTTTTTAGAAACTTTTTGTAACATTCTAAACATGTTTTTAAAATAATCATTCAAAAATACACATTGGTTTAACAACAAGGACTAAAACTACGTGCATAATAATTTTGTAGGGACCAAAACTTACCATTTTTTAATCAAAAAATATATATTAATTCAAAAAAGCAACGAATACAAGGTGATCAAGATCCATCCATTCAAAGAGACTAAAGAGAAGGAGATCCATTATAGCAATAAACTTGCTATATGGACTCTAAGGTTATCACTAACCCAGCCTCTATAGACAATATTTTCTTTTATCTTATATTTTATATTTTTATTTTCTATATCTTTCCCAAAGCAAAACATTGTTTCTATATTGCCATAAACTATAAACAGTTTGGATTATGACTATCTTGAGCAAAGTTGTTTTCCATCATTTTCCTTTGGTTTTGCCAATGAGCCATTGGAGCTCCTCATCCCACCTTCTAGAAACATGAGCAATATTCAACCACTCCAATGTTCTAGCCCAAACTTTGGCAGGAAAATTGCATTCAAAAAATAGATGCTTTATGGATTCTTCCTTAACATAACAAAGACTGCAACTACTGTCTTGCAGCATGCCAAATTTCTTCAGACGATCTTTAGAAGCAAGCTTACCATGGCATGCTAGCCACAAGCAGACCTTAGCTCTGGGCCTTGCCCTGTTCTAACTAAACAAATTACTCCAAGGAACAGTGGTATCATCATCATTTAGATCCTCATAGATTGCTTTAATAGGAAACTTATTTTGATTTAGATTCCAAAGGTTCTGCACTATGTCAATTTTATCCCTGTGCTTCATGATGTTCTTTATAATCCAAGTTTTGTTATTACTAATGTTTACCTGCATAACATTCTCAATTTTAAAATAATGGATATGGATTCATTTGACTCAGAGATTATCAGATTTTTTACACAAATCTCAAAGGCATTTCAACAAAGCCACTTCATTTCATACTGTCAACTTCACAATGCTCGTGCCACCTTGCTTTCTAGAGATGCACACTTTTTTCTAGGCAAGAGGACTTTTTCTACTAATATCTATAGCACATGTCTAGATAAACGTCCTACAGATTGCATCAATTTTCTTTATAACAATCTTTGAGATAGGGAAACTTGTCATTTTTTATAGGGATCAAAAATGAAATTTAATAATTTAATGGGGACCAAAAATATTTTAACCTAAAAAACATCGGAGGGTGAGAAACGGATACAGCGTAGAGGGGGTCTGGTTTTCTCTCAATTCTGAAACCCAACTTTCTATCCTTCATCCCCCTCTCTCGCTTTCTTCTCTAACCAACCCTTGGCCGCCTCATACAATAATCATCACCACTCACCAGGAATAGAGCAAGGGAAAGCACAAGTATTCAACGATTTATCGTTTCTTCACAAAACCAACACCCGGATAAAATAAACCAAAGAAAAAACCTAAAATCGAACCCCAATCCCTTAAAATAAACCCTTACCGGACCTGCGGATGAATAAGCAAGAAACGTAGTATCAACACAAGCACACCCCCACAGTCCCTTTTACCATTTTCCACTAAATATTCAAGGTTACATTGTACAAAGCAATATGAGTAAATGAAAACAGGACATAATTAAAGTAAACAAAGCAGGGTGATGAAGGAGCACAGACAATGTTTCTGAGTAAAAAAGTTCTTCTAGTTATGCATCCCTGATCTCTTCTTCTTTTACTATCTGTGATTTGTGAGTGTAGTAAATATGATAGGCCTTCTAGAAGAGGCGTGGTCCCTTATGCTGATCTCACAAATTTGAAGGTGCAAACCGAGCCTCATACACTTCGATCTTGTGGTGTTACTTGTTGATGAAGTCAAAATACTGCATCTTACCTTCTCATTACCTTTATGTCACGTGATTAATGAGCAATTTTGTTGTAACTCTTGTTGTTGATACTTAGCTTAATGATAGCCTAACATGAAATTCTATTGATCAATTTGTTGTGGTGTATACCTTATACCAGTTGATTTCATTTGATGTGAAACTGAAACTTCTCCTTGGTATCCTTGGCAGGTTGGTGACTTGTGTGTCAAGGAGAGATCCATTCAATCATCGCATGTTAGGTTATGACTTTGTTATATTGATACCATGCTTGGCATTTTAATGGGTTTTGATAGGTTTTGATCATTAGGTTTTTCGTGCTTTGTATGGTTTGGCATAAAGAAGTAACTTAGCTTGTAAACCCAATAGGTTTAGGAATTGCTTAAGTGTTAAGTAACTTGTATCTTGTAAAGGCTTGTAACACTTCTCCCTTGTTGTAACACATGATGTATCTTGTAACATTTGAGAAACCTAATGCACCCTTTGAATTTTAAACACCCTTTATGTGAAACTGTAGTCTTGTATAAGTCGTAAAGAAACTTGTGAATCAATCTTGTAGCACTATGTTAACTTGATTTCCAATGGTAGTCAATTCAAATTAGCATCTTCCATCTCATTTTATTTTCATTTGAAATACATGATGATGTTATATGAATGCGAATGTTGATGATTGCTAATTCATGTGTTGTGATGATGATAGTTTGACTTGAATTTCAAATAAATGGCCATGAATGAAACTCGGCCCTTGAAACAAAATGAACTTGATATGGGCTTGTTCAAAATCCAAGTACGATGTAGTCTAAGAAAAATGACCAATCCCTAAATCAAAGCATAGAAATATGAACCAACGGTTAAGGCTTTAAGTGATAAAACATAATTCAAAGCCCAAAGTTTTAAGTAACTAAGAACTAACCTTTCTATTTTCCCCTTCTGCTGTTTTAGAGAGAGATGAAAAGGTATTGAGTTGAAGTAGAAAGCATGTAGAGGAAGATGTAAAAAAAATTATTAGGTTACTATTGTTTTGTTGGTCCTACTTTTTATATTGTTTGAACTAAGTTAAATGAATTCCAATAAATATTTTTTTACGCCTCTGTAATTTAGAGGCTCCGGACAGTATGTCTGTTTGCCCTGCCTTAAACCTTGTAATTTAGACTACATGAATATAGTCGTCATATGCACATGGATGATGAATGGCTAAGTGGAAAGTAAAAATTCTTTGACTTTGACTTATGCAAATGAAATGCTATTAGTGGATCAAACCATGGGGGCTTCAAGAAACTTAAATACATAGTCCTAGTGACATGAATAAAGGAATAGGTAAAATTGGGAAGAAACATGATACAACTTTTTAATTGAAAAATTCAAGATAAATCATCTCAAATAAGAAAATTCATTATATCATCAATAAAGCTTAGACTTATAAACAAAAGAGTCATTGAAAAATAATAAAGCAAAAGACATAAAAAGATATCCCTACCAGAAAACTATCTTCCTCAACAATCCATAATCAAAGACATCAATGAATTCATAGATCAAAACCTCATCACAAACTAAAACTAACTAATCTTTGATGATCTTGATAAAGAATTATCTTTTTAGGATTTTGTTAATTTCGGTTTTCACTTATATACTTCATTTTTCCTTTGTGTTGTATTTCCCTTTTGCACTTCAATCGTTAACATAAGTATAATGTTTTCCTTTTCTAAATGTCTTTGGTGTCTTTGTTTGCATATTATTTTAACTAGTAGAAGATTTGTACGTCCGAACAGATAAATTCATTCACATCTTACATCATTTGATAAGACTTGAATGTCATTGATATATAATTGTTATTATAAAATCACAATAACTAAAAATATTTTAAAATAAATATGTAGTAAATTATCAACATGATGAATTCAAAATATCTAAAAACTACAAATATTTACAAATATCACTAATAACTCTTAATATTTACAAATATAATTAAAAGGTATTGTATAACAACCCACGAAAATAGTTAGATTCACTAATCAAATTCATAAAAATTGATTAAAAAAAGACAAAATCATCACATTACAATAACGTAGACAATAAATTAAAATTAATATACAGTTATAATAAAAATAGTCATTTAACTAATGTTACTGTATAATAAATATATAATTAAAAATCTAATCATTTAAAAATATAAATATAAATTAACGAACATATTTAGTAATTATACTTTCTTAAGCACAAAAATGAGTTTCACTTGCACTTCTTGTTCAATAACTTTGTCAACTAATATCAATATTGTGGAATATTGATATTACTGTATAATAAAAATATAATTAAAAAACTAATCATATAAAAATATAATTATAATTAACGAACATATTTAGTAATTATACTTTGAAAAATGAGTTTCACTTGCACTACTTGTTCAATAACTTCGTCAACTAATATCAATATCGTGGAATATTGATATTACTGTATAATAAAAATATAATTAAAAATTTAATCATATAAAAATATAATTATAATTAACGAACATATTTAATAATTATACTTTCTTAAGCAGAAAAATGAGTTTCACTTGAACTACTTGTTCAATAACTTCGGCAACTAATATCAATATTGTGGAATATTGATATTACTGTATAATAAAAATATAATTAAAAATCTCATCATATTAAAATATAATTATAATTAACGAACATATTTAGTAATTATATTTTCTTAAGCAGAAAAATGAGTTTCACTTTTCAATAACTTCGTTAACTAATATCAATGTTGTGGAATATTAATATTACTGTATAAAAAAAATATAATTAAAAATCTAATCATATAAAAATATAATTATAATTAACGAACATATTTAGTAATTATACTTTGAAAAATGAGTTTCACTTGCACTACTTATTCAATAACTTCGTCAATTAATATTAATATTGTGGAATATTGATATTACTGTATAATAAAAATATAATTAAAAATCTAATCATATAAAAATATAATTATAATTAACGAACATATTTAGTAATTATATTTTCTTAAGCAGAAAAATGAGTTTCACTTGCACTACTTGTTCAATAACTTCGTCAACTAATATCAATATTGTGGAATATTGATATTACTGTATAATAAAAATATAATTAAAAATCTAATCATATAAAAATATAGTTATAATTAACGAACATATTTAATAATTATACTTTGAAAAATGAGTTTCACTTACACTACTTGTTTAATAACCTCGTCAACTAATATCAATATTGTGGAATATTGATATTACTTTATAAAAATATAATTAAAAATCTAATCATATAAAAATATAATTATAATTAACGAACATATCTAGTAATTATACTTTCTTAAGCAGAAAAATGAGTTTCACTTGCACTACTTCTTCAATAACTTCGTCAACTAATATCAATATTGTGGAATATGTATAATCATTGAAAAGTGTATGAATGCAAATAAGTATAATGATCTGATTTTATATATTCACCCCCTAACTATTTGTCATTAGTAAAAATGAATTTCAGACTATGGTGATTATCTAGCAAGATATATGTGGTAATGGAGAATGACATACAAACAAAACATATATAAATCAGTACACCAAAACTAACAACATTTGTTTATTTTGATATAAATTATAATAATATTTTTTTTATCGAGAAACATTATTTATAATATTTAATGTTTTTACTTTACCTTTTGATCAAAAAAAAAGATGAAAGTATTTAAATGCAAAGTAGATCATAAGAGGAACCTCTATTATATCTCACAGTAAAATTTAATTTCAAAGCAATTGGAGATTGAAACTGAAAAGGAGTTCTGTCAACATTTTATATCAGCATCTATAAACAAATATTCATTTAAGATTAAATATGTTACACTTAAACAAAGTGCCATTTCCAGCTCCATAGTGAGGGTTTGGTATATCAATTGTTACAAGATTAAAGTATCATAAAAAGCATAGTTCATACACTTATGAAATCACGAAGACCTTAGCTCGCCTCTAACTCCTCTCGCTATCATCATTTTTATTCATCCTAAACACAAATTAAAATGAACCTAACAGAAACTTAAGTGTAATAATATATGAATATGTCAACCAATTTAGCTTTGCTTTGCTTTATTAATGATTGATACCTCACAGAATGCTTAGAAACTTCAAACTGCATTACAAATACAAATACAATGAATGTAACATAGTTAGACTCAGCCCACAACCATAATAAAAATATCCATATTTTCTAAAACATGCAAAATCTAAAACAAAAAAATACTCATAAAGTATGACAAATAAGGATTAAGGAGTAAAAGTTACCTTTGTTGTTCATATGTAAAAGTGTAACTTTTAATGCTACCTCCTCTTATTGTTAGAGCATTTATGTATTTTGGTAATAGAACACGACCTTCTTCAATCTGTTTCAAATCTTCAACCAACATCTCAAAAT